CCGTCAACACTAATCCTAGCACCAGTCCCAATACCACTACACGAGGAATGACACACCACTATTGGGTTTATATATTATAATTTCCTATAGGTACTAGATTGTATTATTTTATTATTATACTACCTATATGTAATTTTATATATATATATATATATATATATATATATATATATATATATATATATATATATATATATGCACGTATGTATGTATGTATGTGTATAAGTGTGTATATTTATAAACTAACATATTAATATTATATATAATACGTATAAATTATGTAAAATATATGTAAAAAACTAACATATTTACACATACTATTCAATAGTATGTGTAAATATGTTAGTTTTTTCTCTTGCAGAGTACCCTATCTATTTTCCATAAATTTCGTAGCCGCAGCTATTTTTATTTCAGCACGAAATAGCAGCATGCTGTTGTGTTCCTTATAGTTACAGTAAAGAACCGTAGACCCTTAGTACTGGAAACGATGTATTCCATCTTAGTCATCGCGGATGATAACGCATCCACATTCCGATTCTTAACCGAGAGTAGATGTAGATTACCTTACCTTCAAGCTGACTGTGATAGTTTCTACCTTTATTATATTTAAAAAAAACTATCCCATCCAATTTCCAGAATCGGAGGTAAAAAAAATATTAGTGACAAATACACATTTGATAGGCAAATTCTCAACAAACAAGGCGGTGTTAAACCAGATCATCCTTATGGATAGGCGCGCAACATAGGGATGATATGTGTGATTTTTCTATTACTATACACTTGTTATTTCAGCTTAAGGAATGAAAACATTAAGGAGATTTGTGAAAAACTTTAAATAAAATAAAAGTTGACTTCAAAGCACTAAATTACATAAAAGGATTTCCACGTAGCCTATGAAATCGGTGGTAGAAATAATTTACATAAAAATTAAGGCTCGACGCGCATGGAGGAATGTGAGATCCAGTATATTTATGGTTTATATGAAGAAAAAGTGCAGTAAGAGGAAGAAAGAGAAGCAGAAGATAGAAATAGAATTGTTTATTATACCACTTATAAATTTAATGACGGTCGAATTTGGACCACTAAGTGACCACTATTTTTTTTTATAAAATAAGGGTGACAAACGAGCACACGGTCCACCTGAAGGTATGTGGATTCCGTGGCCCATAAACATCTACATCTATCCTTGAAAATGCAAAATGCAGATGCGTTTCTACCCCTGAGGAATAAGATGGTACATTCACCATACAAACAATAGCACTGATCAGCTATTTTAGGCTGGCATTCTGTGAAAACATGTAATACGTGGTACAGCCACGCTGCAGATATATTATGGTTGCAGCTCGAATGGGTCTGCTCAATTGGGGAAGAACCACGCTCACACATAATACCAGTGCAAAATAGCAGCTTGATTTTGCTATGTTTCGTATGGTGAGTGTAGAGATCCGGAGACCCTTTTTTACTGGGAACGAGGCATTACATCTTAGACGTCAGGGGTGACAACGCATTTGTTTTTTGATTTTTGACTGAGGATAAATGTAGATTTCTATGGACCACAGCATTCACTTACCATCAGTTAGCCTGTGTGCTAGTTTACCACCCTTATTCTACAAAAAAATAAAACGGAAAACGTGGTCTTTCCTAGGTCGAGCCGACCTATTTGTGCTAAACCTAATCCTATCACCTATCACAAAAACTAGTAAGCACAAATATGTAAAGTGTTTGGTAGCTGCAATACGCGTAACATATAGTGGTTTTAAATTATTGAGCAGGGTAACGTTATAACATCCAATGACGAGAACGTTTGTAATTATTTTACCCGTCCAGGTTGCGAGATAAACAGTTTTACGGCTCATGTCAAAATTGCAATCCAAAACTAGAATGACTGCACATGCGAAAATGTGTTTTCAATTTTATCCTTAAATTGTTTACCTATATTTGAACGTTAGTTAAATTATTTAGGTAGGCCCAAATAAAAAAAAAAATTCAAAAAAAATTAATTATTATTTTAATTTTAAAAAAAATAAAAAGTATGATAGTTACTGTAATCCATCTATTAATTACAGCCTATAAAAGTCCGGTTCTGAACATAGGCTTTTCTCATAAATTACCCCATATTTGCCACGCTTAGGAGGAAGATGCTGCTGCCCATACTCTACGACTTAGAGCTGAGAAGTTTCTAGAATTCTTGTACATTATTATAAAAATTGTCATAACTATAAAAGAGGCCTGTATGAGCAAAGGATTGTTCACAGGTTCATAATGATGAGTACGGTAAAGTACGTTTTACTTCCAATCATCCATTCAATATAGCCTACTAAGTTTTCTTCTTCTTTTTCTTCAGTAAAACTTCACTATTGCACATATGCGGAGTAATGATATCCACGACACCATATTGTCTCGCGGGTGTTGAATGAGGTCAATTACGTTGTGTTCATAGTTTACACTGGGTTAGCACAACGCGTTCTATGTTTTCATTGATGAATAATGTCCTCCAGACCGAATTCCGGGCACGGCAGCCTGCCTCAACGGAGACTAGCCATCAGCGTAGGACAGGATTATAGTGCTCAAGTGTTAGCGCAAGGACAGGTGCACTCTCTATTCCCTCACTCATATTCCGATGGGACGGTAAACCGACACGACCGGAGAGAGATCAGGCGCAGGACCAACGGCTTTAAGTGCTTTTCGAGGCACGTGGGTGAGACATTGCCAACTTCCTGGATTTCGGGCAACTACTGAGAATTTCTTGACGAAAAAACTCAATAATTATTTTTTGACACGACCCGGGATTCGAACCCAGGACTTCATGATCAGCAGTCGCACTACTACAACAACCACTAGACCAACGAGGCATTCCATCTGATGGTAATAAACTACTGAAGCTTGTGAACATGTCTAACTTCCACTATAGAAGACTAAAAATGCAGAGACGCTTAAATAAATACAACCCCACAAAATTAAAATTGGATAACTCAATATGCTTACTCGCTCGTTTCTCATTCTCGTTGAAACGCCATCGGCTGTATGCGACAGAAAATTATTAAGAAATCACACCGTGACGAATTGTCTAACATCTGGAATCTATATAGTGATAGCGAATTTCTAATTGAGTTCAATGTATAATGGTTTCTGTGGCTGAAATGCAGCGAATTACAAGATAAATATCTTTGCCAGGCTAGTGGACCCAGTTGTTTGGATAAACTCGCTCCTCGGTGATTTCAGCCAATCTTTGATGAGTGAGGTCAAACGTAATCTGGTACTAATGTGTCACGGACTTAATAATAGAAAACTTAAGACAGAATTTTCACTGCGTCTATTATAATTTGAAGTGCTGTTTTCCAAGTGCTCTCAATGAAAAGAAATCTGCTTATTAGAGATAAACTAGGCTCCTTCTTCTCCTCCTTCTCCTTTTCCTCCTTTACTATATCGCTTACTTTACTTTACTGGCTTTGTTATTATATATTCTGTTACTGGGGTAGATTAATATACAGTATGAGAAGAAAGTGACTTCGACGTAGCAGATTGTTGCAGATTTATATCGTCACGTCTTACATTTATGACAACAAATGGGATATTTAGGATTAATAAGGAAAATAATTTTCCGCGATGGGAAAAAAATAGGACAAGATAAGGAAAAGTTAATAAATAACAAATAATGATGCCAACTCCTAGGATTTGTATAATTTAATACATTTTGTATATTCATGATTATATTCAAAACAACACATCGTTTTTAGTCTTCAAGAAACTTACTTACTGATACTAAAACTAGTTTCAAAGAGCTACGAATTGTTAGGAGTGAAAATTGAGATCATAATTGACTAGAAGTGTCACGTATTTTATATAACACAATAAGAGTAGAAATTTCGAGAGTCTTAACAATTATCATTCAATTTATTCACCAAACAGAAGGTAGGATATGTTATATCAAGTATCGGTATAGGCATTAGTAGTCCGTCGTGATGAACAAGCTTCTAAAAAAGAAGTGTTTTTAACCAAATATCTTAACATCAAGTGATGATATTTTATATTGAAATGATGGAAGTTCTCAATCCAAAAACATCAGAATAAATAAGTTTTAAATAGCCTGTCGTTAAAATTACTTTTTCCTATACAACTAGTAAAAAAGAAGTAATTTTAAGTGTTATTTTACTTCGTACTCCATTACCAAAATCGTAACTCCATGAATGAAATAGATAAGTTGTTTCAACTTTCAACTTACATTAACGACTATACAAAAAACTACAACACATTAACAGTAATATACAAAAGTAACGTTATTTTATTCAATGCCGTAATACATTTAATAGCTGAAATTTCAAGGCCAATAACATTATCAATAAGATTTAATATAATGATAGAATACTTGAATCAGATCATAAAATACTTTTTGTTTATTCTATACAATATATATTTCTTCGCAAGGTTTAACATTTGGCAAACGTTAGATGAAATTGAAACCAATCAGTTAGGAGCTTAAATATAAATTATTAAAACTAACTGCAGGAATGGACGCTCACGTGAAATTTATCACAATTTTTAATAAAAAAAATATTTTTATATATAAAAATACGAAGTTAGTATAACAATGTTTTAAAGTAGTCGTCATAATTGTTGTCAGTTTTAAAAATTCAAATAAATTTATTTCGTTATTAGTACTGGCTGGTAAATCACAACTAAATAGGTTTATTACACAAGGAATATTTAAAATGCTTATAAAAATGAGTTATTACACTTTAGTTTGAAAAGAAATGAAATTGTTATTTAGTTTCTTTTTAAACTAAATAACAATTTAGTTGTGTGGAATCTGACCAAACAGCCGATAGATAGATTTAAAAGTCAAGGAGAAAAAGCTTTACTTTTTTAAATCAGTCCAATATTAAAAAAAGTAAAGATATTAAAAAGATTAAATAGAAAATAAATTTTTGGTCAGATTCATCCACAAATACGATTAAATTCCACGTGAGTTCCATCTGAAACGTATTCGCGGTATGTATAATTTACTCGTCCATATAGTTTTCGCTGTCAATCGCATCGCTGGATCGCTTGCCAAGGCCAAAGCTGAAGCGGTGCATGTCTCGCTGCCTCTTACCAAGTTCGAAATTGAATTTGCTGAGGCGTTTGCCAAGACCAAAGTTGTAACTTCTAGCTCGTTTGCCAAGACCGAAATTGTAGAGATATGGTCTCTTGCCTAATCCGAAGTCGTAAATTCTGGCTCGTTTATCTTCATTCTCCTCTGAATCTTCGGCTAGACGCTTACCGAGTCCAAAACTGTATGGTCGTGCGCGCTTGACCTCATAAACTGAAACAATTAATTATTATCTAAATTTAATCATAGAAATTATGCTTATAATATAAAAAGATCACGTTTTCAGCACTTTAAAGTTAATCACTGATAAAAGTATCATTAAGAAAAGTTAAAATATATTGCTTTTCCCTTTTCTAGAGTTTTTTTTTTCTGATAAACAAAAAATAAAAATAGAAATTTAATTATTTTTGAAGAGTATTTGAATGTTAAGTAGTTTATGCCCAAATTCTCAAACGCTATTCAATTTTAAGATGTCGTTAAGAATCGTGATGTCACACTTATTTTACTTAAGGTGATAGAGACAGCATGGAAGGTAAGGCGACACCGCAAAAAAATGTACCTCTTTTCATCGAGTAGTATATATAGGATTATGATACCACTGACGAAACTGGAATTTCTATATAGGTAAATCATGTCTTTATCTTGAATTTGCTTGTTCAAAAACACGATTGCATAATTTTTACTCAATTATAATTATTTGCAAAAACATCTCTAAAACTTAACTATAGTTGAAATTACAACGAAATTACTTAATCTATATATCACTCAAACATATTCATAACATCAATATTCGTAATTTACTTGCTCATTATTTTGATTACTTGAATCAATTTTTTATATTTTAATTTTCTGACAATTTCTAAGCGGTCCTAATCGCCGCGGGCGCTACGCAATTTTAGACCTTGTGATGGCGTTTTTAAAGTTTTAATAGAAATTATGTATTCACTCGGATCAGTCCGACGATAGCCAGGAGCCATTTTAAACGTTTATTTTCGATGTGTCGTCTTAACGGCATCTTAAAATTAAATAGTGATTGAGTATGTGGGCATTAGAGTATTTATTGATTTGTACAAAGATGTTTTAACATATTTGGATTTGTATGTCTCTCAACTAATATTGATGGCGATATCCATTCGTGCATGTCCCAGTAAGACATGCAGGAAGTCGATGGATGCAGGTGGTTCAGGACCGTGCTATGTGGCATTCCTTGGGAGAGGCCTATGTTCAGCAGTCGCGTTGTGAAGGGTTGTAATGATGATGGTGATGATAATGACGATGATCAGTCTGCTAAGCTTGTTTATTTTCTAACTTGAAAGACTGCGCAAAGGGCTGCGTACACCGTCGACAACATAAGGCTAATGATGATTTTTCAATTATATATTCTGTGTTCTGACGCTGTTTTTGTAGAAACTAAAAATATAATAAAAATACCTGGAGCGTCGTCATATTGGTCAAAGAGTTCAGGCACGTTAGCGTGGTCAACGTCACTCATGAAGTCATCGCTGGATTGATCACCGTCAACGGATCGCTTGCCTAGACCAAATGAATAGAGCTGCGACCTAAAAGTCAAAGTAATATTATATATATGTACGTATATATAGGTTAATTTCCGCTGTCGACCACCTGAGCCTCTTATTTCAACAGCAGGTTGCACCATGTGCACCCGCATAAGTTGGCATTTAGAGAAGAATTTGGCAAAGAAGATGGCCAAAAATTGTATCAACCTGTGCCCCAGACTGTACAGAGATGAAATCTATGTCATTTGAAAGTACAGATCTTCTATATAAAGAATCGGAAAGGTACATGTAGCTATGCAGTAGTGGAAAAAAGATATGAAGATTTAAAAAAGCCGATTCTGGCAGTTGGTTTTTATCATTATTACACAATGTTTATATTAATAAAGTTCCAATTCATGAGTGTTAAGCATTGAAGTAATATGTACTTACGTACTAGAGCAGCTATCTCAAACAAAAAATGTGCGCTACTCTGTGTTCGCGCGGTTGGTTTTTTATCATAGAATAAACACAGGTAGAACGATCCGTAGGTAATAGTAGATTGTATTGTTAAATAGGTAAATTATATCGAGAACAATATTTCTATTTTGTCATTTATTTGTATATTATATTTGTATCTATGTCAAATATTAAAAAAAAACCATACTAAATGTATGTTTAACAACACTTATTAACATAACATTTACATCATAAATATATTTATTTAAATTAGAATAAGAGTCGTTCGTAAATGCTAGGCACGCGAGAGTTAAAAATGGACGAATTTATTCCACTTTGACTTTGATGTGGAAACCTACAAATAAAATAAAAGAATAATAAGCAGATTTAAACATGAAAAATTTAGCCTAATTATAATAACTTATATATGTTTCTACTTAAGTACCGTAAGTAAGTTGAAGCGACAGTAGCCTAATGGCAGGGCGCGGAACGCGAACTCAAAAATGTCAAGGGTTCGAATCCGCCATTCGACTACTGGCGTGAACCACTCGTAACACAAGGAATTTAAGCTTACCACGAGTGGTTAAGGGGAATTTAGTAATGTTTATAGCATTGTTAATATTCTTTGAAAAAAGTAACCACAGAAATATCGCATCTGAACATATTAATATCATAATCTATATTCCATGACACGAGATGGTGTCTTAGGAATAATTTGTTTTATTATTAATACATATATAAAAATTTTATTAAGTATCTTATTTAGCGATGAAAAGTAATTGCTTGGTTTTTACTGACATTTCTTGAATTATTTGTGCAATATCTAAGTACAAACGACAGCATATTTTTATCAAGAGATTTTTTAAATCAACATAACACGTGACAATTCTACAGGCGCCCAGCAAGTGACTGATTAAAGTGCGGTGTATGCACCGCAGTTGAGTGGAACAGAGTAGCTGAATGCAGTGTCGCCTCTAGTACGTAGTACATAATAACTCAATGGTGTTAAGTAGGTTAATGTATACGCACGATGATTAGTATTGTTACGAGCTTGAGGTTCGTGACAGTAAAAACTGCCGATTGAATTACCAAAATTAACACTTTAATTCACTTTACACTAATTATAATCTAAAACACTAATAATTAATCACACTGATTTACTTTATTCCGCTTCGAAGCTTCACTTGTCTCGCCAAATTCAATACTTCCCCGATCGCATCTTTCAGCGCCTATAAATACAAATTAGCACCGAAACATCCAGAATATTCAAGTAAACACGCCAAAAGGGGCCGAGAGTTCGAGTGTCGACTTCTAGAAGCTTAGTTCTTCGTTCCGAGACTAGATGGCGCTTTCGGTTGAAAGATTAATGATGTCATTTTCTAGAAAGCTCCCCTCGCTCTCGTCCGTAGTCGTGGATGGCGCTAATGCCGGATACATGACGTCGACTTATTTGCGCAATACTGCACCCTCCTAAGACATGCTCGTCCCGAGCATTATCGGCCCCATAATAACGCGCCAAGCGATTCACATGGACGATTATAGGAGTCCCTCTTGCGCCTTTCTGTAACGGCTCCGCAATGTCAAGGGCTGTCCTATCCCATGGTGCACCAACATTGTACAATTTCGATACTCCTCTACTACGTGTCTGAGGTCCCCTCACAACCGCACAACCTGTACATGTACGACACAAATCCTCGATATCGTCACGATAATGGACCCAGTAAAACTGTTCTCGGACCTTCAGTAGAGTCCGTTTAACTCCCAGATGGCCTCCTGAACAATCATTATGGTACAGCTGTAGAATATCCGGTACTCTAGCTTTAGGGACGACCATTTGCAAATGACAGCAGTCTCTTCGACCATTGTCCCATTTACGGCACAGGACTCCCCTGAATCAGCAAGCTGTCCCATTGGGCCCAATAGCTTTTCGTGGTTTAACTCATCGCTGAGACGTCGCTCCACTTAGGCTTGGTAGCACGGGCCTTCATCCATTCCAGAATCGGCTTGATGTCCGGATCTTCCTGCTGTGCATGTCGTAGGCTGTCCTTCCACTCGTTGCTGAGGTGGTCTGTCCTGAGTATCCTCACCGATACCACTTTCTTACTCTCCTGCCTAGTACAATGCTTGCAATCTTCAGGGCAAGGTCTCCTTGACAATGCTTCTGCGTTGCCATGCGATCTCCCGCTGCGGTGTTCAATCACAAAGTCGTTTTCCTGCTGCTGGGTGGTGCTGTTAGCCGCACAACCCTCTCGAGACCGATCACCTTCCCTTTTTTACAGATCGCTTAGGGCAGCTGGATCGAAGATGGCCCCTTTCCCCACAGCCGTAGCACCTTGGGCTGTAATTTTTATTGTGGTCGCGAACCGTAACTGCTGCAACCTCCCTAACGTGAGGGGAACGATGATCCTGCCGCCGCCAGGCGGTGCCGTTAGCTGCACTACCCTCTCGAGATCGATCAACTTTCCTTTCTACGGTTCGCTTAGGGCATCTGGATCGAAGATGGCCCCTTTCCCCACAGCAAAAGCACCTAGGGCTGTATCCATTATTGCGGTTGCGAACTGTTATAGCTGCTGCAAACTCCCTAACGCGATGGGAAAGAAGATCCTGCCGCACGGCTTCCACCTCCAGTCCATGGGCCAAGGCATTCTTAAGCTCGTGATGCCCGAGCCTCACAGCAGCTCTGACTTCAAGGTCACGGATGCCGTCGATGAATGTCTGCACCAGGTTCCCTACAACGAGCGCAGGTACAGACCGGTATGCTTTTCGCACCAGCTTCTCCACCTCTAGAGCCCACTATTGCAGGTTTTCGTTGCTGCGCTGCCCGCGATCTTTAAGCTGCGCACGAAAGACGTGTTCCAGGTGAGCGTCGCCATATCTCGCCTCCAATGCCTCAAGGAGCTACTCATAAGTCACTTCCGCACCAAGAGCTTCCATAACCGTTAAGGCCTAGTCGCGCAGACCTAGTGTGAGAGCAGTCATGGCCTGACTTTTATTCCAGCCGTTCGCCTTCATAACAGCCTCGAACTGGATTTTGTAGGCTGACCAGGAAGAAGTCCCGTCGAACGGTGGCACCTTGAACTCACGTAGCGAAGGTGTAGTAGCTACTACGGGAGCTGTAGTTCCATCCCCAAGTTTGAGTTCGTCCAGTGATTTCTTCATGTCAGTCATTACGTTGTCAACCCGATTGTTCACTTGGTCGATTCGGGTTTCAGATTTCTCAATTCGTGTTTCAGCTTCTGACAGGCCGTTGTCACGTTGAGCTATCCTATCCTTCACCTCCTTCATCTCCATCCCGAAGGTAGCGTGAAGGTCCTTCAAAAGGAGCATCTGCTCTTCCAACCGACGGGCCTGTTCCTCTTGTCCGCCCCGCAGCTGCTCTTCCAATCGGCGTGCCTGTTCCGCCTGCTAGCGGGCCTATTCCTCCTGTCGGCGGGCCTGTTCCTCCTGTCGACGGGCCTGTTCCTCCTGCCGGCGAGCCTGCTCCTGCAGCATCATCATGAGAGCACCTAAGTCAGGTGCTGCAGGTGTAGCAGTTGCTGAAGGGCCAGCCTCCGTGGCTGGCAGTTGGCCCTCCGACGTCTGCGGCGTTGCACCACCAAATCTCCTCTGGTCCGTCTCCTGCTGGCGTTGACTTCGGGTACGGACACCCTCCGATTCCTCCTTCGGTAAAATCGGCATGATTTGATCCCACTTCTGACACCAATTGTTACGAGCTTGAGTAAAAAATAAAATACTGTGACAATAAAAACTGCCGATTGAATTACCAAAATTAACACTTTAATTCACTTTACACTAATTAAAATTTAAAACACTAATAATTAATCACACTGATTTACTTTATTCCGCTCCGAAGCTTCGATTGTCTCGCCAATTTCAATACTTCCCCGATCGCATCTTTCAGCGCCTATAAATAAAAATAGTAAAACAATACTACCGAAACATCCAGAATATTCAAGTAAACACGCGCAGGGCGAGAGTTCGAGTGTCGACTTCTAGAAGCTTAGTTCGAGCAAACGCTAGTTGAAAAATTAGTGATGTCATTTTCTGGAAAGCTCCCCTCGCTCTCATCCCTGACACTAGATGGCGCTAGTGCCGGATACATGACGTCGACTTATTCGCGCAACAGTATGTATCCTAACTGGTTTAGCCAAAAAGAAAACCAAGACAGCAGTTTTTTTTTTCAGTCTTTCAAATTATTAATTGTAACTATTTTTGTAACTTGTGTGTTGTAAGTACTAAAGTAAAATAACCCTATCCTATAATGTAACGCTACATGTTTTAGCTGTAGCTGTATTAAACAAATAAATAAAATTCGATCCTTTAGTGTACTTTGATTATTTTAATGTATTAATTCATTAATTGAAGGCTTATTTTTATACATAACTTATCATAAATAAAGTATTTTTATAAGTTTAGCTAATGTTTTTTCCCTACTTTGATCTTTTTAAGTATTATATGGCAACATTAAAGGTGCTATAGAGGGACTTCAAAGAGAGTAAATCACTTTAAATACTTTTAAACTTTATTATTTTTCAAAAGCTGCTATAAAATTTTAATAGTTATTCAAAATTCTTTTTTTATTTTATTTAAATTAATAGCAATAGTCTTATTTTTGTACAGCTTGGGGCACATTTTGCCCATCTCATTTACTCTTCTTAATAGAAATCAGAGCGAAAAATTAGCACATGGTTGGCTACATGGTAAGTGAATACTGTGGCCCATGTACATTACATATATCCACAATTAGGCACTAAAATGTCACCTCTCGAAACTAAAATGAAATGCCTCAGTACCGGTAAAAACGATCTCAGGTTCACGTCATGCACCATACGAAATACAGTATAACTGCTATTTCACGTAGCCTCCCCAGGTCTAGCCGACTCTGCTGCTCTCATAATCGGCACTCATAATTGCAACGTGACTTTATCACCCAAAAACTCCATAAAACATTACGTAATATTCTTTTGCACTTCTCAAATTACAAAGTTACGAATCTACCTTTTGCCTAATCCGAAGTTGTAGACAGGAAGTCGTTTGTATTCAGAAACGTAGCTATAGGCCCGTTTTCCTAAACCAAAGTCATAGCGTGGAGATCTCTTCTCGAGTGGGGCGGTGTGTTCAACTTGGGCACCGCGGAGGTCATGGGCATCTTGGTCAGCATGGGTATCATCGCTCTGAATGTTTTCTGGAGCGCAGACTGCGATCTCCAGGAACAGGAAGCAGATAAGGACTGATGTATACAGCATTCTGGAACAATGACACGTGATGTTACTCAATATATTGTTAAATAAGGAAATGCAATCACATCCTATACAGTCCCAATAATGGTAGAGCCGTGGCAGCTCAGATAGTCAACGCTCGCTATAAATATCACAGCACAGGCCTGTGCCCAGCAGTGGGACGTATATAGGCTGTAACTTAACTTTTACTTTAATGGTAGACAGTAGAGAAGGAGTAAGATAATAGAAATAAGCAGAAATTTAATAAAACTACATAACATAAACATAACACAAACACTCACGCCTGTCACCCAGAGGAGTAGGCAGAGACTACAGACTTCCATTTGGCACAATCCTGACACACCTCTCTTGCCTCCTTCACATCCATACACCTACGCATACATGCTCGTCGGTTAAGGGTACTCCTAATTTGGCCCGTTTTCAAAAAATCGCCAATTTGGTCGATAAATTTTCGCCTAGAACGTCCCTTTCCGACTCTGCCATTCACTTCTGCACCATAAATTTTCTTTGTCACTCTTTCCTCATTCATTTTTTCCACATGACCAAACCACCGAAACATTCCTTTCTTAATCCTGGTCACAACATCATCTTGCAAACCACACTCTTCTCTTATTACACAATTTCTTACCCTGTCATTCAGATTCAGCCCTAACATACTCCTTAACGACCGCATTTCTACTGCGTTTATTCTACTCTCGTGCTTTTTCTGCTACACCCAACTTTCACTACCATACGTTAAAGTAGGAACCAACACAGCATTGTGAATTGCCATACATGCCTTTTTCGACACATTTTGACTCTTCACAATAGAGTGCAAGGCCCCATTTACTCTATTTCCCGCATTCACTCGTCGTTCTATATCCTTATCATATCTCCCATCCCTGCTAAATACGCAGCCCAAATATACAAACTCATCTACTTGCTCGATCAACTCCCCTTCTATTCTTATTTCACAAATCGTTTTACTTTCTTCTCTTTCAAAAACCATAATCTTCGTCTTACTTGCGTTCACTTTCATACCCCTTTCTTTTAATGATCCGTTCATTAATGTAACCATCATTTGCAACTCGGCCGCCGACGATGCAAGAATAACTTGATCATCGGCTTACAAAAGGCATTTGACGGTTAACTCACCCATTCTTAATCCGCATTCTTCAACTTTCAAATTTTCCAAACAACTGTCCATAAATAGGTTGAACAGCCACGGGGAAGCCACACAGCCCTGTCTGACACCTTTATGGATGTCAAACCAGTCCGAATAGACCCCGTTGATCCTAACACAAGCACTAGAGTCCCTATAAAGAGACTCCAATGCCTGTATCAAGCCAGCGCTCAACCCAAATGAGTTCAGTGTTTGCCATAGCAAATCCCTATCCACTCTGTCATAGGCCTTTTTCAAGTCCATGAACGCACAAAAAACCTTTTTGTTTTTGGCCAGAAACTTCTCCGCGATCATGCGCATGGAAAAGACTTGATCTGTACATCCCATTCCCTTTCTAAATCCCGCTTGCACACCCCAAATTTTTCCATCAGTTTCTTACATGACCCTTTCAATCAGTATCTTAGCATACAGTTTTCCCACAATGCTAAGAAGGCTGATGCCACGATAGTTTTTACAGTCCTGCTGCGACCCTCTTCCTTTATATACTGGGACTATCACGGCTTTGCACCAGTCTACCGGTACCCGCTTCAGTTTCCAGCATAAATTAAACAAGGTGTGCAGCAGGCCTGCCACCACTTCCTCTCCAGCCCTTAGCATTTTGAGTGAAACTCTATCATATCCGGCAGCCTTACCTGCTTTCATGCTTTTCATTGCTTTCATTATTTCATCTATACTTATCTCGCTAACTCTTTCCTCTTCTTTCGGTGTTTCTACTTCACTTAGTGCACACGTTGTCTCCTCACTCATAAACACGCTTTCAAAATATTCCTTCCATCTCTTTAAACTCAAAACTTCATCTATATATATCTATATATAGCCATTATCGTCTCTTATAGCATTCATCATAGGCTGTTTTGAATGTCCCCTGGCAGTTCTTACAAGTTTCCAGAACATTTTAATATTTGCCTGGAAGTTATCCGATATTCTTCTATCATTCTTATCCGTTCTTTCTTGCTTTTTTCTTTCAACTACTTCTTTTACTCTCTTATTAAGATGTCTAAAGACTGCCTTTTTTCTTTCAATATCACCATTCGTACCACTAGAATTAGCAGCTTTTGTTGTTAGTAAATCTAGCCATGCTCTCTTCTTTGCTTCAACTTCCATACGTATCTCATCATCCTACCATAACGTATTATTTTTCCTTTCATTCTTTCTCTTACTAACACCACATACTTCGGTAGCTGCATCCACTAAACCTTTCTTTACATTTTGCCATATATTCTCCAAGTCTAACTCCTTCATACATAATTCATCCAAACCAATTATATTTTATTTCAGTCTACATTTGAACTTGTTTTTATCACTTTCATCTTGTAACCTTTCTGTTCTAATACGCTGTAACGCAGTGGTAGACACAGGCGATCGATGGTGCCAACGCCTGAATAGACCATTAATTCGGCATAAAAATAAATAATGATCCGTTCCTACGTTAGAACCCCGGTAAACTCTCGTATCTACCACTGCGCCCCTCAATCTTTCATCCACAATTATGAAATCTATCATGCTTCTATCGTCACCTCTTTCCCAAGTATACATGTGAATCCTCTTGTGGCGAAAGCAAGTGTTCGTCACAAAAAGATTATTTTCCATACATACGGTGAGGAGACTTTCACCATTCTCATTTATACTTTCATCACCAAACATTCCCAATATCCTTTCATAACCACGCCTCCTGACACCAACCCTTCCATTAAAATCTCCTAGCATAATAATATTTTCATTTCCCTTACACGTCATTAACACCATCCTTACCATTTCCCAAAACTGCTCTCGGATATAAGTGGGCTTAGACATGTCTGGGGCGTAGATCCCTAACACAAACAACTTCTTTAAGCCCACTTTCATTCGTATCCATAGCAGTCTTGGGCTTACACATTCATACTCTTTCACACATTGACCCATTCTTTCTGAAAGGATGATACCTACTCCCTGGCATGCCCGCTCGATCTCGTCTACACCAGACCAGTATGCGGTATACATGCCATGTGTAGTGACATCCTTCCCCCTTTTTTTGGTCTCATTTACGCATAACACATCTATTCCTCTATCATACATCATATCGCATACTTCATCCATTTTATCATTCATTGCCCCACATACATTCAACGTAGCCAGACGGGCCTCTGCAATCCACTTTTCGCCTCTCCGGGAGACAGAACGTGACGGGTGGCGAACCTCGTCGCCGGTTTTCCTCCCGGAGATTCTTCGCACCCCTGCTCCATTAAAGGGGCGCCGGGAACTCGGGGCCATTTCTTTAATTCGATTCCTCATGGTGCGAAATGGGGTGGTATATTTAACGCCGCTACCACGGCGTGGAGCCGAGTCTGTGGTATCGGCTTGTCGCTCATTTAGCACCACCCGGGGGACAAGTGTAGGGTGGGCCTAGGAACAGGTGGTCAAAGACTACGGACGCGAGCGACTTATCCCCCTCCATTAATAAAACTATATTTACGGATTTAGTCACGGTAACCATTTTAACTTATTTTTAATTCCCGACGTTTCGGGTGTTTTACAGCACCGATGGTTACGGGAGGGGGGGACTAAGATGTTTGATTTTTTATTTACATTACATCAGATTTGATAAAAAACAAATTCTCACAAAAGAACACCGATTCCTACCAAGGATGACGCGAGGCTATTGAAATTAAAAAAAAAAAAACATCCTAATCCCAATAGAGAAGATGGCTGAGTGCTACCATCCGAGTGGGATCCTATAATCAACAATATGAAACCCATACCCAAGCATACGACTGCAAGACTTCAAGATACTGTAAGCTCGTTCTGCGTAAATCGGACCAAAAATTAATATTCAAAAACTGAAGTTAGCCGGGCTACCTATGACATTGGGACGTCACACATCTCAGTTCCCCCCCCCCCCCGTGGCCTTGGGTGCTGTAAAGCACCCGAAACGTCATGAATTAAAAATAAGTTAAAATAGTTAATTAAACGCGATAAAATCCGTAAATATAGTTTTATTCAATGTGTAGTATTAGCGTAAATTAAAGAAATCATAAGCAGAATTTCCCTTTACGTGAGTGACCACCAATGGCTGCAGGTTGCTGAGAGACGTGTTTTGTGGTATTGTGGCAGACGGAAGAATTAAAAACAATGAAATTAGTCGGCATTTTAAATCCTAGTACATTATAGAAGAAATAAAACCTCAACTTCCATAATTTTACCACGTTTTTAATAAGTCACTTTCTTGTCTATGTGTCTATGATTCCGGGTGGAATCTTGCAACTCCAATTTGGAGCACCTCCCAATGAGCTGGATTGAAATTTTGCATATAGCTCAGAATCTGATGAAAATGTAGGAAAATGAATATGAAAAAGCGGTATAGGTGCAACCCGAAAGGTCCACACGACTAACTTCCTAGTGGAAAGAATAAAAAAAACATCATATGTTTCAATATTTTATAGAATTTTTCATTCGGCACAAAAAACTACTTGACCGATTTTGCTCAAAATTTAATGAGGTCTAAGTTCCATAATTATGCGTTAAATGTCAATATCACTCTTTGTTCTCGAGATACACTAGGCGAAAATTGAATCCGAACATACATACATACATACATATATGCATGTGCACACACGGACATCCTTTTAAAAACCTTCCTATTTGACTCTAAAGACCTTGAAACGTGGAGATGTGTTAAAATATCCAATTTGCAAAATCGGACCCATTACAATAACTTCCCACTGGGAAGTTAAAAAAACTTGGTGTATTAATTTTTTGTACATTATTTAAAAATAATCAGTTGTTTAATACTTCGAAGTCAACTTTTACATTTTATTGTAATAAATAGTTTAACTTTTTGACACATTCAAGGTAAATGTAACAACTA